AGAATATTAAAGACGTTTTGGGTATAGAAAAGGAAGGTGGAGAAGGGACATATCTTGGTCTACCTGAGTGTTTTCAAGGTTCAAAAAATGATATTTTAAATTTTATAAAAGAGAAATTAGAAGGACGGTTGCAAGGATGGTATTCAAAAACCTTGTCGATGGGGGCAAAGGAAGTCTTGATAAAATCGGTTGCTTTAGCACTCCCAATATATGCAATGTCAGTGTTTAAATTACCAAAAGGTCCGTGTGAACGAATTACTAGTGCGATTATAGAATTTTGGTGGAGTAGTGGGGATAAAAAGAGGAAAAATCCATGGGTTTCTTGGGAAAAGTTGTGTAAACCCAAAGAACAGGGGGGCCTTGGGTTTCATGACATTGGTCGTTTCAATCAGGCATTGCTTGGGAAACAAGCATGGCGTATCTGGAATAAGCCAGATTCTTTGGTTTCACGGATTCTTAAAGGTAAATATTTTAAAGATGGTGATTTTCTGGATTGTGGAATGGGAACGCGACCATCATATGCTTGGAGAAGTATCATGCATGGTAGAGAATTGCTAAAAAAAGGTTTATACCGACATATTGGTAATGGGATGACTTCTAATGTTTGGGCTGAAAATTGGATTATTGACACCATTCCTAGGCCCCCAATGTATCGTGAAAATAGTTCCGTAAATTTGACGTTAAAAGTCTCGGATTTATTTAGGGAGGGAACGAATCAATGGGATATGGATTTACTACAACAAACTTTTACACAAGATGACGTTCACCGGATTTTACTTTTGAAACCGTCATTGATATTTGAAGATTCGGTACGATGGGGTTTTACTCCAAGTGGTCTATATTCGACTCGGAGTGGATATAAACTGCTAGAGACTTTGGTGGATTTTGATAATCAACAGGGACATTCGCTCACTCCTATTGAAAAGCAATTATGGCGAAATGTTTGGAAGACTAAAGCGCCCCCGAAAATAAAACATTTTATGTGGCGTGCCCTATCGGGTGCATTAGCTGTCAAGCAACGCTTGAATACACAGGGAATTCATATTGATCCAACATGTTCGGTTTGTGGTAACGGGGCCGAAAGTATATGCCATGTTCTATTTACATGTAGTAGTGCACGTCAGATATGGGAGATTTCAGAATTCCCAATACCTGCAGGAGGTTTCTCTCGGAACTCAACCTTTTTGAATTTTGTTCATTTGATCAAAATTGGTAAGGACTCGACTACGGATACTCATAGGAGAAATGTTTTCCCATGGTTATTGTGGGAAATTTGGAAGGCTCGGAATGGTTTTATTTTTGAAAACAAGGATATTGTACCTTCCTTTGTTTCTAAAAGAGCCTATGAAGAGGAATCCACGTGGTTTGATACATTTACAAAACCAACGGATGTTGTGCAGACAGAAAATATGGGAAAAATTTGTTGGAAAAAACCATCCAATGGACTCATCAAGTGTAATGTTGGTTCCACATGGCTTCAATCCAACCAACTCAGTGGTGCTTCATGGATTTTACGTGATGAAAATGGATCCACCATCATGCATAGCCGACGCTCCTATTCCTATATGCGCACAAAAACTGAAGCTGATTTGTGGGCTCTTTTCTGGGCGGTTGAATGTCTACAGAACCTTCATTTCTCAAATATTATTTTTGAGACTTCTTCGGAAAGCTTACATGACGTTTTCTCAAAACCTCTTCAATACCGTAGCTACAGCCTCATCCGTCACAACATCTGCTTTCTTCTTGCAAGGATAGATTCATGGAGTTTAGACCATGCCATCCCTGAACGTAATGAAGCTGCAACGGCAATTGCTCTAAGCGTAACTCGTGATCTGCGGCATCAATCTTACATTGCCCGAAGCTATCCGCCGTGGTTACATCATCTACTCACTCTGGAGTCCCAAGAAGAGATTTAGGTGAGGTTTTTTCATCCATCTACCTTGATGTCTATTGACATCTCTCCTAATTTTATTTACCATTTTTTTTTTGTAAACCGTACGATGTTGGTTAAAACAGTGTTATAAAAAAAAGATAAATACTTGTTTTAAAAATGAGAAATTAAACTCTTAATATCATGAATAGAAGATAATTGTGTTCCTCGTTCCCTAACTCAATCAGCTTTGCATCTATTGTTTCGAGTACACCATCGATAAGTTCATTAGTTAATGTTCAAATAAATGAGGTAAATCTCACATTCATGTGATTTATGTCAAAGATTGAGAATGGTAATCAATTCCTGAACAATTAAGATCTGAACTAACAAATTGTATTGGAAATTTTGGGTTAGAAGAAACTATATAATATTTTGGAAATTTATTCCCTATTCAAGGTCGAATGAATGTATAATATTATCCTAAAAACAAAAACGATTTGCATCTAAACCTTGAACCGTAAATGGAACCTAAACTCACATTTATTTTATGAGAAACATATAATTTGAAATAAAAAACTACGTTTTTAAAATATTTTCATCCCACTCCATAATTTATTACAAAATAGAATAAAAATAAAATAATAAAAAAATAAAAAAATTCATTATTCCATTTATAGATTAATCATTTTTCTTCTTTATTCTTCTATTTTTTTCTCTATTTTGCAGTAAATTATAGAATAGTGACAGAGATGCTCTTATCTATTATATCCACAAAATCTTTTCAATGCAAACAACCATGCATAAAGCATAACTCCTTCACAGCATAAGATTGGGTTGTTGTCAAGCTAAAGACTGAGTTTGATCAATAAAAATCTGAACATCGCATTTTCCGAGGTTTGTAATGATCACCCTTTGTACATATATGGTTGACCGGTATAAAGGCTCTGAGGATTTTTTTTGCTGCTTTGGTGGTAAAGTGATCACTGCTCACTGCTCATACCATTGTAGTTAATTGGTAAATACGACTTCGCGATATTTTCTCATTTTTTTCCCTGGATATGATTCATATCATATGAGCCAGTGCAAAGCTATATCAGTCACTTCTATAACCGATACATAAGGCCAATGGCAATATGGCCAGTGCAGTTTCTCCGAATCGTGTGTTTTATATTAGAACAAGTTTGATCTTAAAACTTTGATACCATTTGACAACTGAAATCAATCTACATACTCGGTATAACGCAAAAAACACTTAGAGCATCCTCAATAAGAACTCTAGCAGGGAAATGCTCTTAGAACCATCTGATGTGCTAAAGAACGTTGATATTTTGGATAAGTTATTTTTGGAAAAACCTGAAAAGAAATTATAATTGTAACTTTTTTCTTGCCAACAAAACAATTGCAACTTAAAGACCTCTCTCACCACGAAGATCTCATATAGATTATTTGACTAACCAAGACGTACGAATCATTTTTATTTGAATAAAGTGTCACAAGTTGCCTAAGCTGACAGAATGTAACAAAGCGAATATCTAATTTAAATATTCCAAGCAACAGTAAACGATGTAACAAAATGTCAAATATTGAAATATTAAATTTCTTAGATATTTTATTATAATTGCTATGAATCTTTTTGTAAGTCTTAGCAGTACGGTTTACAACTAGACTTGAGCTGCAACAATATTCTTTAGCGAAAGCAAGCGGTCAAAAGACACAAAAATAATTTTTTATATTTATTTTAAATTTTTAATAAATCTCCAACAAGCCGTGCATGAAAATAAAAAGCATTTGTTTAAAAATTACCTATGATCAGGTTCAAAATCCAAAACATTGAACATGATACCAATAATTGTTATGATTATTCGCAAGTATTATACCATATTTTATATAAACACTGGCCAAGGGGGAGATTAACCTATATAATTTACATATAAACATAAACATTTGAATATTGAACTTGAACTTATTCATCATTGAAACTAGCTGATAAAAGCATGCACATGACTGACTAAAAATAAGTATGTCAAACATTAGGCTCATAATTCTAGTAATATAAAAGTATTGAGCTACATGGTCATATACTTTCATTAATAAAGGTGTGATACAAGTGAATTAATGATTACTTATGTCGGTAATTTTCAATGTAAAAGATCAAAGTGTTTAATACTTTTTTTTATCAACTTGTTTAATACTCTTTTCATTTCTTTTTTTTCTATTTACCTGTATTTAAAACATTATTTTTGTTTGTTTTTATTAATTACTGAACTAAAAATATAGGTCAAAGACGGTAAAATATTTAACATTTGATTGAAAAATGTAATACGCCATTTATAATGAAATCAATTTTTAAAATTAAAATTGTTACTTAATATAAAATAGAAAGAGTAATAATGAAGGGATTAGTTTATCTGTGTTTCTAAGTCTTTGTTTTTTATTTGTATTTTTAAAACTAATGTTCTGAATTTGTAAATTAATGTCTTACATTTTAGTCACAATCAATATATAAATGTCAGAATTTATTGTAAACAATAAAACTTTAACTTAATTCAACATGTATTATTATGATAGTTTTTGTGGGGAAATAGCATGTTTACCCTATTTTTTAATATCTGTGAAATTTTAAAATATCATTCGTAAAAATGCAGAAAATAGAATATTATTATTATTTAAATTATAAGTTTAAAAACTAATTGTTGGTCTAGAAAATATTATAAGTTGCATTTCCACGGATTATAAAAATAAATTCAACGTAATATGGTATTCAAATGATATAATTTCTATAAATATTAAATAGACGATGGATTTTGTGAAATATTTTACGAGACAACCTACTCCATTAATTATAAAAACAGGAAAATAAATAATGAAAGCCTGTTTGTCGAGGATTTTATTAAATTAAAAAAAAGATAACACCAAAATGAAAGTTGTCATTGTCAGGCCGATTTAATTGGAATAATTACGTGTTTAACTGTACTAAACCGATTTTAAAACTCAAAACCAAATATTTGAAAACTAAAACCTTACACGAAAAAAATTAAGGAAAAACCTGCAAATTAGAAAGCTTGGCTATGGCGGTGTTTATGTTAAATGATCAAAAAGCTCTTATTTTTATGCAAGCGTGGGATATAAAATCCACATCCCTTTTTTTTTAGATTTTTATTTTCTCTTTCTCTCTCTTTTCCCTTTTCTTCATACACTTCCTTTCTTCTAAAAAGCCACTCATTTGCTATCTTTCTCTCTCTCTCTCTGGAGCTGAAGAACAGAGAAAAAAGGGTTTTGTTATCTGACCAAAGGACCCATTTCAATAAAGCTTTCTTTGGTGAGGAAAAAAGTCTGAAGCTTTGAATAGAAAGTGGCACAGATTCTGAATTAATGGGTATCTTTCTTCTCCTGTCTTTCTTTTTAACTTCATTACCTCCTTAAATCTGGTCTTAGGGTTTTATCAAAGCTCTGTTTTTTTTTCCCTCTTGGAATTCGTACGGAACAAATCATGTTCCGTTGACTGGATTCTTCTCCTTTCTCTTACCAGATTCTGCTCGTGTCTTGTGGCTCGTCTTTTTAAGGAATCTTTGTTTTGTTCTTCCTTTAATTGAATCAATTGGTTCTCTTACAGGTGGATTGTGCATCTTTAAAGACCAAAGTGGTTGTGTTTGTGTGGGAACTTCTTTTGTTTTGTAGCTGTCTGAACTTGATCCTGAAGTTTTGGGGGTTTAGTTAGTGTCTGTTTTTTTTTCTGAACTGTTAGAAGAGATGGATGTAAGTGAGAAAGATGAGTTGAGGAATGGTGATACTACTGTGAACTATGATGATTCAGCTAATAACCAGCCTGCAGATTGGAGAGTCTCTGGTTCTAATCCGGTCTCTGATTCATATCCTACAGAGAATAATCTGATCTCGTCTTGCTCTCCATCTCAGATGATGGATTCATTTGGGCAAACTCTTTGGTATGATCCAACAAATGTTCAAGCTGTGGGTGGTTATGGTGGTTTCAACGGTGGTAATAACGCCTCTTCTTCTTCGAGTTCCTTTAGGGGTATTGATAGATCTGTTGAAATGAGTTGGAATCTGCCTAACTTGTTGCCTCCCAAAGGCAACGGGATGTTCTTGCCAAACGCTGGAAGCTTCCTGCCGCCGAGTATGGCTCAGTTCCCTGCTGATTCAGGGTTCATAGAGCGTGCGGCGAGGTTTTCGCTGTTCAGCGGTGGGAGTTTTAGTGAGATGATGAATCAGCAGCAGCAACCACTTGGGAATCCGGAGTCGATTGGTTTGTTTCTTCAAGGGCAGTGTCCAAGTAATGAAGTGAATGTTGGTGTAGCTCACAATGATGCTATGAAAGAGACTAATGTTAGAGCTAGTGAACAAGGTAATAAACAGAATGTTCCTGGTTCTGGCAATGTGTCTGAGGATACTCAGTCTAGTGGTGGTAATGGTCAGAAAGGTGGGGAGACTTCTTCTAAAGGTTTTGACTCAAAGAAGAGAAAAAGAAATAGTCAGGTGAAGATTTGAAGTTTTTACTTATTTTTATTTGGTTCTCTCTTGCCTTAAGATTTTGGTTATGTATCTGTTGTGTAGAATCCTGAAGCAGATCAGTCACACAAATCTCAGCAATCTGAGGAAGAAGCAGACAACAATGGTGGTGGTGGTGATAAAAAGAGAAATGATGAGCAGAGTCCAAATTCACAGGGGAACAAAACAAACAGTGGGAAACAACAACAGGGCAAACAAGCGTCTGATCCTAAAGATGGATATATTCATGTGAGGGCTCGTAGAGGCCAGGCTACAAATAGCCACAGTCTTGCAGAAAGAGTACACTTTCTTAAACCCTCTTGGAAGTTGAATAAAGAAGCAGTCTCTTTATGGTGTTATGATGTACTTACTTGTTTGTGGTTTTAGGTCAGGAGGGAAAAAATCAGTGAAAGGATGAAGTTTCTTCAGGATCTTGTACCCGGATGCAACAAGGTAGAGTTTTTTAGACACTGATGCATTTAATTTGAAGAAAGAAAACAGAATTAATGCAGGAAATTGGATGTGTGTGCAGGTGACTGGAAAGGCTGTTATGCTTGATGAAATCATAAACTATGTGCAATCTCTACAACGCCAAGTTGAGGTATGAGATTTTCTGTCACGCTCTTTTTTTTTGAATGAATTTAAAATTTATTCAATCAAAACCTTTGTACATCAAGTGCATCTGTTCTTATGATTAAAAATCAACATATAAGTTCAAAATAATTAATGAAAGAATCTGTTCCTTCATGTTATTGACTCGTGTCTAGTCCCGAACCATGTGATGAGCCCCTCTTCAAGATACTTTCTGTCATTCTCAGCTATGTCCTCTTTTGTGTGTTGCTTCTTGTAATCAATTTGATTCTCTTTATTGTTTTAAACAGTTCTTATCGATGAAACTAGCAACTGTGAACCCACAAATGGACTTTAACCTTGAAGGTCTTCTTGCCAAAGATGTAAGAGATTTTTCAAAAGGCTCTTATAACTAAACTCTCCTTATCATTTATAGTCATCATAAGATTCTTCTTGTAATATACACAGGCACTTCAACTACGAGCTGGTACTTCATCTGCAACACCATTTCCCCCAAGTATGCCGATGGTTTATCCTCCTCTACCACATGGATTCATGCAACAGACCCTTTCAAGCATGGGAAGGAACATTAGCTCTCCATTGTCTCCCCCAATAAATGGTGGTTACAAGCGACAGGTATTCTATAACAGGGTCTGAAATCTGGAGAAATGAACTAGTCTGCACTCATAATCTGATTCTGTTTTTGTAATCAATAGGAAACAAATGGATGGGAAGGTGATCTTCAAAATGTGATACAGATTAACTATGGAGCTGGTGATGTCCCACCTGACTCTCAAGCAGCAGCAACAGGTGAACATAAAAAAAAAAAACCTTAAACCTCTTTACTTCTTTATTTTCCACCAAGAAGTAAAACTTGTTTGTTTTTGTTTTTATTACAGAGGCATCTCATCCATCTTCAAACATGAAGGTTGAGCCGTGAGATTTCCTTCCTGTTAGATAGAATGTTATATTCTTGTAATCTTTCTTTCCTCTCTTCAGTTTACTGTGTACTATATGATAATGATTGTATTAACGAATACTACTACTACTACTAATAAGGATATAAGATTAGGTAAAATTTGTGAACACCACAAGTCTAAACAGTTTCAAATATGTTATATAACCATTTTAGTTTGCTATCTTTCTGAGTACTGAGCCATGGATTCATTGGAGAGTTAACATGATGAGAAACCTCAAAAATATAACAGAAACTTGAAACGTCACCATAATAACTAATAAGGGTTATATATTGTGGTTAGGATAAGGGAGGAAAATTACAATTTTGAAAGTCGTTATTAGAATAATTATTTGCAGTTTAAATGCTTAAATGTAGTTTTGGGTTAGTTTTAAACTACCCATTAAAGTGAGCAGGGGACAGACAATGGCTTCGAACTACTACTCTGCTCAGATAAAGCAATGCCTTGAGTTCGGAACTAGAAACCAAACCCGCCACTTGAAAACAATCCACGGACACATCATCAAAACTCTTCCCTATCCAGAAACAATCCTACACAACAAAATCATCCATGGCTATGCGAAAATCAGAAACCCAACTTATGCACGCAGAGTGTTCGACGAAATTCCCCAACCAAACCTCTACTCCTGGAACAGTCTCCTCATGGCCTATTCACAATCTGGGCATCATCTCTCAGAGATGGAACGCACTTTCAAGCGGCTTCCGGAGCGTGATGGCGTCTCCTGGAACTTGCTAATCTCCGGATATTCCTTGAGTGGTCTTGTGGGTGAAGCAGTCAGGGCTTATAACACGATGATGAAAGATGGGTCTGGAGATTTTTTGACGAGGGTTACTGTGATGACAATGCTGAAGCTTTGTTCGGACAATGGGCGTGTTGGTTTAGGGAAGCAAGTTCATGGACACGTCGTGAGACGTGGGTTTGAGTCTTATCTTTTAGTTGGGAGTGCATTGATGGATATGTATGCAAAAGTTGGTTTCATCTCTGATGCAAAGACGGTTTTTTACGGTTTGGAGGATAGGAACACGGTTATGTACAACTCGTTGATGGGAGGGTTGCTTGCGAGTGGAATGGTTGAAGATGCTAAGAAGTTGTTTCAAGGGATGGAGAAAGATTCAGTTTCTTGGACGGCTATGATTAAAGGGCTTGCTCAGAATGGACTGGAGAAGGAGGCTATTGAGTATTTTAGAGAGATGAAGATGGAAGGCTTGACGATGGATCAGTTTACGTTTGGGAGTGTGTTACCTGCTTGTGGGGGATTAGGAGCAATAGAGGAAGGGAAAAAAGTTCATGCTTGTGTGATCAGGACTAATTTTCAGGATAACATATATGTAGGCAGTGCTCTCGTTGACATGTATTGTAAGTGTAAGTGTATAGACTACGCAAAGGCTGTTTTTGATGGAATGAGGCAGAAGAATGTTGTGTCTTGGACAGCAATGGTTGTGGGTTATGGCCAGAGCGGTCGTGCTGAAGAAGCTGTTAAAATGTTTTTGGAAATGGAAAGAAGTGGAGTTCAACCAGATCATTATACTCTTGGACAAGCGATCAGTGCCTGTGCGAACATATCTAGCTTGGAAGAAGGCTCCCAGTTTCATGGAAAAGCTGTAACTTCTGGCTTTGTACATTATGTCATTGTTTCAAATTCACTGGTGACTCTGTATGGAAAATGTGGGAACATTGATGATTCTACTAAGCTGTTCAACGAGATGAGTTTCAGGGATGAAGTCTCTTGGACTGCAATGGTTTCTGCGTATGCCCAATTTGGAAGAGCCATCGAGGCTATTGATTTGTTTGACAGAATGGTACAACATGGACTAAAACCTGATGGAGTGACATTGACCGGTGTTATATCAGCTTGTAGTAGGGCAGGATTAGTGGAGAAAGGGCAACGATATTTTGAGTTAATGACAAATGAATATGGAATATTACCGAGTAATGGCCATTATTCTTGCATGATCGATCTCTTCAGCCGATCTGGAAGGTTAGAGGAAGCCATGAGTTTCATAAATAGGATGCCTTTTCCCCCAGATGCGATTGGTTGGATCACTTTACTCAGCGCATGTAGAAACAAAGGTAACTTAGAAATAGGTAAACAGGCGGCTGAGTCACTCATAGAACTAGATCCTCATCATCCTGCTGGCTATACCTTATTATTAAGCATATATGCTTCAAAGGGGGAATGGGACTGTGTAGCACAGTTAAGGAGGGAGATGAGAGAGAGGAAAGTGAGAAAAGAACCAGGACAGAGCTGGATCAAATGGAAAGGGAAATTACACAGTTTCTCAGCGGATGACGAGTCAAGTCCATACTTAGATCAGATATATGCTAAGCTCGAGGAACTGAACCAAAAAATCATAGATGATGGTTATAAACCAGATACTAGTTTTGTTCAGCATGATGTGGAGGAAGCAGTTAAAATAAAGATGCTTAACTATCACAGTGAAAGACTCGCCATTGCTTTTGGATTGATATTTGTACCCTCTGGCCTACCTATTAGAGTAGGAAAAAACCTTAGAGTGTGTGTGGATTGCCACATCGCCACTAAACATATCTCCAGAGTCACTGGTAGAGAGATAATTGTTAGAGATGCTGTTAGGTTTCACCGTTTTAAAGATGGAACTTGCTCATGTGGAGACTTCTGGTAGGGCTTTCATCTTGGAATTTTCTGACACATAGAGCCAAGCATGATGATTCTCCATTGCGAGTCTGAAAAAATCAGAACAGAGTAGGGAAGTTTCAGTCGTACTGCAAGTCTGATTACTTGGAAGAGGAGTCGCTGCATTACCTACCTGAAGACTTTAATATAAAGAAGGAGAACAAGTAAGCTTATCTCACTTTACTTCCCATATGTTCTTGGTTTCTAATCCTAGGCGTCTCATTTTATTTATTCTAATACTTTTAAGTAGGATTCAAAACCTGACCAGGTAACTGTATTGAGCTCCAAATTGGTGAACTGACCAAGAGACTGCAACAAGGCGCTTACATATATACTTCAACTACAAGACTGAAAAAGATAGAGAACATGGATATTGGATGGTAAGACCTATCTGGATATATGATCATGGCGAATGCGATACAATAATTCATTTTGGCTCCAGAGAAACTGTAGATGAAGTAGTACTGTAATGGTTAAGAGCTTGCTAAATTTTACTTATTTAGCTTCGATTTAGATGATAATCAATTTGAATTTCCTAAGATGCTTGCCAGCTTATAATATTTTTGGATAACTTTATTTATTTGACTACAAATGATATCTGCTATCAATTTGTTTTTATACTAGCAAATGTAGAACCAGGTAAAAAAAGCTTGCATTTGAGTCTATTAATGTGATAGATATCAATCTATCTTTACACTGCCTTGTCAAGCAAGGAAGATGACGTGGCTAAATGAAGGAGGGTTGAGAAGACTCTGGTTGAGTGAGAAGCTTTGCTGTTACGGTGGATTGATGCAGCTCGTGAGACTATAAGAATGAGAAAACAGAGGATGANGAGGATGATGCTTATGATGTCGAAGTGATTCAAGCGCTATGAGCTTGGAGGAGATGATCGCCATGAGATCATCTCTACGATCGCTATGAGATCGTATTTCTATCTGTTATAGGCATCGTTGTTCTTGTAATCTGACATTGAAGATCAATAAAAGAGTTAGGGATTTCTATAGTCTATCATTGGTGCGGTGAGCGTGGATCGAACACGCGACCTTCAGATTTGAGTGAGGAAGATGACGTGGCTAAATGAAGGAGGGTTGAGAAGACTCTGGTTGAGTGAGAAGCTTTGCTGTTACGGTGGATTGATGCAGCTCGTGAGACTATAAGAATGAGAAAACAGAGGATGANCAGAGGATGAGGAGGATGATGCTTATGATGTCGAAGTGATTCAAGCGCTATGAGCTTGGAGGAGATGATCGCCATGAGATCATCTCTACGATCGCTATGAGATCGTATTTCTATCTGTTATAGGCATCGTTGTTCTTGTAATCTGACATTGAAGATCAATAAAAGAGTTAGGGATTTCTATAGTCTATCATTGGTGCGGCGAAACTTGATCGGAACCACCGCGCGAGAGCAAGATGGTGGAAACGCGTAACGGAGGTGCTCGGGGAAGGACGTTATCCACAGAAGCAGCAAAATCAATGGATCTACAACAGATTCAAGAAGAGATGGAGCTGACGAAGATCAACTACGAGATGTTAGCTCGGAACGATCGAGCAACAACGACGAAGCTCGATTCGCTGGAGAAGACGATCGAAACAATGACGATCGCATCTTCTTCAAAATTCGAGGCGATCGCGAAGCAGATGACTCATATCAAGGATGTATTGACTCGACTGGAGAACTCTGCTGGATTCACTCAACGGCCGGGCAAGAAGATTGCGTCATCATCTGAACTTCAAATGGATCAGGTACCGATTCCTTTATCCGAAACAGAAAGATCTCCAACTCAGTTAGGTCATCGGGGAATTCAAAATACACTTGCGAACCATGATGCGATGTTGAGAAAGATTGATATTCCTGTGTTTTTTGGTCCATTGCCTTTTGATTGGATCTCTCGAGTTGAAAGAATCTTCAGAATCGGTAACTACAAGGAAGAAGAGAAGCTGTATTTGATCTCATTGAGTTTAGAGGGACCGGTTCTTCAATGGTTCAATGGTGAGCTCGTAAGTGACCCATTTGTGAGCTGGGATCAATTCATTACGAGAATGTTAGACAGATTTGGTGATCCCATTAACAAGGATCCAACAGCTAGGTTGTTTTGTTTGCGGCAAGAGGGTGACATTGTTGACTACGTGAATGAATTTGAGGTTTTGCAGAATCAGGTTACAGGAATAGATGAGAAGATTTTGATCAAGGTGTTCTTCACTGGGTTGAAATCTGCGATGAAGGGGATCATTCGTATGAAGCAACCTGTAAGCTTGACAGATCACAAATTGGCAGTGCTTAAGATGCAGAGCACAGTTTCTTGTAAATTGGCTTCAACTTCAACCAAGTTATTATCAGTTTCACATGTCACAGAAGTGGATGAGTTGTCTCTGAATGTGAAAGATGAGCCCACTTTAGTCAATGAAGCTGCTCTTGAGACAGAATTGGTGAAGAAGAAGATCACATCATCAGTTGTGGAAGAGATTAATGACGCAGAAGTAGAGTTTAAGAATGACTCAGTTCTAGATATGGAGCAACAAGCTGGTGTTCAATGTGAGATATCAGGCAGGGCTTGTGTGGGGCAACCTGATTTGTTTCTCGTGAAAGTTTCAAGTTCTTTTCCGGTTGATGGGAAGCTGAAAGAAGACTTGCATTCAAGTAAGGAATCTGCAGGTGTAGATGACAGTTTTGCGCAATCTGATGACATATCTTGTGAGACGCAGCCACATTCTTTGACTATTGAAGGGTCCAAGAATCTGAATATAATTTTTCAGTCTCATTGTGTTCATCAAACGTTGGCTCAACGTCTCTTGTCTAGAAGACTGACGTCTAGGAAGAAGAAAGGCAAACATCCTAAAGCATGGAAGTTTAAATTTAAACCCAAGAACTTTCTGAGACTCGTGCTTAAAAAATTTGTGAACATCAAACCAGTTTCTGATTTGGAGAATGGTGACGTTTTATGGAAGTTGGAGCATCCGTTGTTGAGTTCACAGCGTTTTAAATCTCACACCACTTCAGTGGCAGAACATCCTCCGTCTACTGTATTGACAGAAAGTGCTATAGTTTACAAGATGGAGCTTGTGAATAAGCATGTCAAATTTATGAAGAAACCAGAGACGTCCTGGCTGTGGTACAATTGTTTGATGAAGCATGATTCACGAAGCTTGATGGCCCTTACCCATCGTTGGACTTTCCAAGTGAAACACAAATGGAGATTTAAACAGAGAGGGAAGACACGCCCAGGCCAAAGCTTCAGTTTGCTGGCCTTGAAGGGAGTGATAAGGCAGTGGTTTGATCACGTTGGATATTCTTCTTGTCACTTTGGAGTTTTTGAACATGGTTTTCGAATCACAGATTCAGCTAATGGAAAGGAGTTGCAGTCACAGGGGTTTTTTCATGAAAATTCTTGCATCATTTTACACAGCCCAAGCTTGAGGGCAAGCTTGATTTCAAGGGTAGGAGTATATGGGAGCCTACTTATCTTCTTATGGACAGTGGCTGTGTTGATTTGGATATGTGATAGAGAACAAAAGAAGAAACCAGAGCTATTGATACATGAGCAGTTTCAAACCAGAGTCTCAACAATTTGGAATCATCTATTACATCAAGAAGAATGCATATCGGTAATGCATTTTGAGAGCATTATGTTACATATTCGGGTACAACAAGAGAAGAAGAAACAGAGGACCAGTAACATATGGGCTTGGCCAGACATACTGCAACCTAGTGTACAAGTAGCTTATGTATATGTTACTAGTGGAGATGATGGCACAGCGCAAAGCCGTGACTATAGAGGTGGCAGCAAGGTGATGCAACAAAGGAGGAGAAGTAAAATGCCCAAGTCTTGGATGTTCAAGTATAAAGAGAAAGAGGAGACTTCAGCTGCTACAATTGCCATTTGCAGAAGCTATAAGACCTACAAGAATGAAGCAATGATAAGTCCTATCTTGATCTTTTCCATGCGCACTCGCAGTTTCTTTTCTTATTCCAAGCTTGTGGGCAAGCTTGTTGTTAAGGGGGAAGTATTGATAGATATCAATCTATCTTTACACTGCCTTGTCAAGCAAGGAAGATGACGTGGCTAAATGAAGGAGGGTTGAGAAGACTCTGGTTGAGTGAGAAGCTTTGCTGTTACGGTGGATTGATGCAGCTCGTGAGACTATAAGAATGAGAAAACAGAGGATGAGGAGGATGATGCTTATGATGTCGAAGTGATTCAAGCGCTATGAGCTTGGAGGAGATGATCGCCATGAGATCATCTCTACGATCGCTATGAGATCGTATTTCTATCTGTTATAGGCATCGTTGTTCTTGTAATCTGACATTGAAGATCAATAAAAGAGTTAGGGATTTCTATAGTCTATCATAATGTCAGTGGAAATTAATGTGACAGAGCTTTTTGCTTGTCCACTCGAGGCATCCAATTTTGAAGGGAAAGAAGACAAAAAGAAGTAAAACCTTCTTTATCAAAGCTCATTATGGAGCATATTCGGGTTTGACAACTGGACAGACTCTGACCCTCTTCTTACTTTTGTAGGAGACTCTGGCCCAAGGGCTATGAGAATTCGTATACAGGCGAGGATCTAGGCAGAAACGCCAAACTCAAAATCAAATGCAGGCGAGGATCTAGGCAGAAACGAAAAAAGAGGTGAGATTCTTTTGTAATGGAATCGATACAATGTGGCTGTCAGGAGGATGTTAAACAATAACCCTCTGTTATTTGTGTGTGACCATAACGTAAACTCACATTCAAACTGAAAACTTTTTACACAGAGAATACAAAGAGAGGAATAAATCATAACAGTCACGGCCCTACGGAGGTTGACATGTCATTGTTTTCTGTCATATAGACTGAGAAACTTGGCATCTTGTCCAGACGCCTCAAAATGTTTTCTGCCATCTGCCTTGTGTTACCATCTCCACGATGAAAGGCGCTAACCAGCATACCTGACAGCATCCTGTCTTGTGATATGCCAAATGCATACCTTTGTCCACCTCTAATTAAGAACTTGTCAATCATCCAAAATGCTTTTTGCAATAGAGACTCTTTCTTGTGTTCTTTGACTGCATTTATGATAAGTTCTACTGCATTCATTCCACTCAGCATGTTTAAACTCTTCTCCACATCAACCTTGTCATCCAGTAACGTGCATATAGCTGATAATGCTGACTCCACTACCTCCGCTTTATCACTCTGCAAACATGCTAGAAGCTTTGTGACTGCATTTGCTTCAACCAAGCAAAATGTGGCTTTTGCAGAACATACTCCCCTGTGGATCGCACAGGTCTCTACTTGCTTCTTTTTGGGTGAACGTAGTGAGAAGGACCTAGGCATACTCAGTGATCCCATGAACTTCGTGTTCTTAACTTGGGGTGGCCTTGATAAAGTCATAGTTGTAGACGATAGATTTTCTAATCCAGTCGCTGATAATCTTTGAACTTCATCGCTTGATGTTTTCATCAATAAATCAGCAAACACTGATGTCAAATCATGGTTTTTGGCTAGGTACATCATTTGAGGCTCATACAATGTAGTTGTGAATCTCACTAAGATGCCAACGAGACCTTCCAGAAAATCAGTTGCATACTTGCTTGTTCGTGTTCCACTTCTTTGAATCAGATGGACTGCATGCAGAATTTCGGAGACTATGCTCTCGTTGACAAGTGCTAGGTTAAGAGTCAGATTCTGGTGAGGCAGTTTAGCAAGTAACTTGGCTGAAACAGCATGTTTCTCTGTTATCTGATTTGCTTCTGCTGGACACTGGATAAGATTCCCTGGCTGGCCTCTAGTTTTACATAGTCTCTCGGATAGCGTATGACCAATGAAGGGTGCAAGTGCAATGAGAAGCTTCAAGGCTCCGACCCCCAGTTCTTCATGAGGATTGTTGATGAGTTCTATCATGGCAAAGCTTGCATCGGTTTCTTTGATCACTGAGACGATAGTTGCCATTGCTCTAGGTGATTTGGACAAGGATATGAGAATCCTGATCAAATCAATGTTCAGATCATCTGGGCTTGAGTTTTTGAGCATTTGGATGATGTTGTATACAAAGTAATCCGAGCCTAACGTGTGGCCTGTGGCAGTCACCTCAAAGGTCTCATGTTCCACCCCGGATTCCAGTATGTTTGCAAGTATTGTAGCAGCTTCATTCCTGGAGTTCATCAGATCACTGAACATCCGCTTGGTGAATATCTCTTCGACCATGAACTTGATGATGCCTACTTCTACCAGTATTTGCTTGTTGGGATGGTACAGTGAAATTTGAGCGAGAGCTTTGAAAGCGGCTCTTCTAGCCTCAATATTTTCACTTTGCACCAGCCTGATGAGCGCAGGGCAAACCTTCTCAGCTACATTAGTTTTCTTCTCATGTCCAATATCAATTTCCACAAGGTATGCAGCCATTACCACCTGCGTCTCTTCACTCCCTGCATGCATGCCTTATGTTTAGATGCAGTCCACATATATAGTTTCAACGTGTTGATCATTTCACTGCAGGTTATGCTTGTATAACACAATGGCTTCATAAGTTAGGAATTACCTTCCGCTAGATGAATGAGAAGAGGTTCTAATAGTCCACTCTCTGCCATTTGCTTGATGTTGTGAGGGAACTTCTCTAGATTTCTTAAGATCTGATCTGATGTTTCAGACGCAAAGTCGTCCGACTCTTCGTTATACTTTGAGGTAACTAACATCAATATTGCCCCTGTAGCATTCCCAATCTTCTTACATGCATGTTCAGATTTCGAAAGCTCAAGCAGTAAGGCTAGTGCTGCATGTCTTATAGTCTGGTGACTGCTTCCCAAAAATTTGATTACCCATGACATAGTTATCGTATTCACAATCATTTCCTGTAAAAAATATTGAAACAAGAACGAACTGTGTTTAAGATGGAAAAGTTAAGTAGTCTGTAAATTCCATGAAAGAGATCGAACCTTTCCTTCATCAGTGTCTTCGTCTGCTAGTGTCTTTAACAATTGTAGTAGTTCATACCTCACATCTTTACTTCGGTACGTGAGGTATCTGTCAAGCAACTGAATGATCCCAGCTTCACGGACTTTTACCTTGTTGTACTCTTTCCCTTCACAGGTCATTTGCAGATCCCTTAATGCATCAATAACCATACTTTCCGAACCGCCTAAGGATAAAGCTGCGTGAGCCACCTTGATTCTTGCTGCCTCGTTTCGCACTTTCCACTCCTCAATAATGGTTTTCAAGACAAGATTGGGACTTAATCCGGTTGTCAACTTTTGCCCTGTAACTGGACAGCTAATATCATCGGTGTCTCCAAATTTTTCAAACCATTCTGTTACGGCTTGTCTTTCGCAGGTTACTCCTGTTTCTGTGGTGACTGGATCTTCCATTATCTCTTGGGTCAACGGGCAGATGAATGCTTGGTATGGTGGCTCCATGAACTGTGTTACCTGTGGTAACATTGACAAGGATTCGCTCAGAGTTCCATATTTTCTCTGCCTGCTTCTAACCTTTGTGCTCTGGCTTGAGTTATCTGGCATCTCACTCATTTGTGATTGTGATTCACTCAGATTCTCAAACTTTATCTGGCTGTTGCTAACAATTGTGCTCTGGCTTGGTATATCTGGTATCTCGCTCATCTGTGATTTTGAGTCACTCTGAGTTGCATAATTTATCTGGCTGCTGCTAACAAGTGTGCTCTGGCTTGGGATGTCTGGTATCTCGCTCCTTTTTGATTTTGATTCACTCTGAGTTCCATACTTTATCTGGCTGCTGCTAACAATTGTGCTCTGGCTTGGGATATCTGGTATCTCACTCATCTGTGATTGTGAGTCACTCTGAGTTGCATACTTTATCTGGCTGTTGCTAACAATTGTGCTCTGGCTTGGGATATCTGGTATCTCGCTCATCTGTGATTGTGAGTCATTCTGAGTTGCATAATTTATCTGGCTGCTGCTAACAATTGTGCTCTGGCTTGGGATGTCTGGTATCTCGCTCCTTTGTGATTGTGATTCACTCTGAGTTCCATACTTTATCTGGCTGCTGCTAACAATTGTGCTCTGGCTTGGGATATCTGGTATCTCGCTCATTTGAGATTCACTTGGAGTTTCATACTTTCTCTGGCTGCTGCTAACATATGTGCTCTGGCTTGGGATATCTGGTTGTGATTCACTCAGATAACTTTCGTAGGAAAGATCAGGATCAGAAGGATAGAGATCTGTCTCTATTTGCTCTGGCACCAGTTCCTGTGTCTGCCTTTCAGAAATCTTCTGCTGAACATACTGTAAAATCTCACTGTTACTACCATCTCCAATGTTAGCATTCTGCATCTCATTTGAAAGAGTCTGGACAACCACTCCTATATATTCTTCCTCGTCGATTATTGAATCAGGTATGGACTTCAAAGTTTCACCCATCTGCTTCACAACGCCTTGAAAGCCTGCCTCAATGTTTTTCAGATCAGTAGTTGATTCTGGTCCATTGCTTTCTTGAGACATCTCGAGGAGATACTTGGCTGCATCTATACTCTTTGATAGTGATTCAACCACATCCGCTGGACATATTACGGAACTCTCTCCTGTCTGTATCACCATTAACACCACTGAAATTCGATAAAAATAGCATGCACATTCAAGGAAGCTCCCAGTTTCTGATTGTAAGAACTCCAAAGATCTGATCACCTCGGAAATGGACTCCAACAAAGATCCAATCAGCGTATCATTTCTACCTATATCTTCTTGGGTCTGAGATACAAAAAAAAGGACAGGTTGAGAGATGTGATTGGTTTGAGAAATTAAGATGATTTAAGAAAAGAAATGATCATGAAGCGTTTGAAGGTGCAAAAGGAAACAAGACAAGTTTGAAAAAATGTTCTTACCGGCATCCCATGTGTTCAAGGCTGGTTTTGTTTCTCTCTCTGCTTACCAAGTCTCTCTAAATTCTACTTGATCTAGCAAAAGACTTGAAGGAAACACCTGGTCCTCTGTTTCATCAGAGAAGTTGGAACCCACTAAAGGTAAATTTGTTGTGCTGATGATGGAGGAGACGACTTTTTAGCAGTTAGTGGGGACACAGTCAGACTCTGTATTGAAGTTGAAGTAGTCAAATCAGAGAGTCCTTTGTTTTAAAGCCTTTCCTTGTTCGTTCATTAAAAACACCAAACATAACCGTTCCAAAAAACAGCTGGATTTGGTTGACTTTTGTTTGGCTCTTCTTGCACTTAACTTCTTCAGATTGGTCGGACCACACGCACAAATGGTGAGGTGTAGATGATGAGAAAAGAGATTGATCTCAACCTCTTGTTGTTCTAATATTTTGACATATTCGTAATAACTGTACTTTGGTTTTGTTTGTTTAATGATAGAAGAATTCTTATGGAATTGGTAAGATGTGCAAATATACTTCTCAATTTGCTACAGTGGTGCAGAATTATATAATATCTAGTCGTTGGTTCTTGCTTGACACTTGGGATAAGATATTCACATCTTTGACCTAAACATATAAAAACACTCTAGCGGTTGCTTCTTCTTCTCTTAGTCTAGATGCAGTCACAATCAAACCTTCTAGATAAATTAAAGTCTTTCAACATTAATAGATAGATGCATCAACTTCACATAGCTAAACATATCTCACATCTCATGAACCAAAAGTATAGACATAAAACATTTTGGTCGTTTGCTAAGCTTTTTCCATACAGTATTTTTTTTTTTTTTTGGTAAAATGTTAATTTTGATACAGTTTTGAACCCCAAAATAAACTACACGTAGGTATCCAATTCCCTTTCACCAATTCACAGTTAGTTTTCTCACTCGGAGTCTTCAACACGCTCTTCAGACTAAGAAGTATACCATCTTGACATATCCACTGATCATGTCGGAGTAAAGGATTCTTCTACTTTTAGAACCATTCATCGAATTTCCAAGCTCACTGATCTTCTCTCTAAATCCCTTTCTAGCATACAAATAAGCAAGAACCTCTAAGCTAGACTCGTCAGGAATCACGCCCAAAACACAGCCACAGTTTCGATCACATTCTCAGCTACTTGCAACACGTTTCAAGAGCCGTATTTACTCGGTACTAAATCTTGTCTCATTTAATAAAGCTTTCTCACCAGCTGAAAGTACCTGGAAGTGTAAAGTGAAGCCTGATAAGTAATAAGAGTAATGCTCTGTTATGGAACTGGGGTTTTTATTTTTCAAAGTATAGCGCTTCTGTGAGTAGTGGGATCTATTTAGAAATAACATAGAAATAAAAGTTTTCTTCAGAGGCTACATACCTAAAACATGCATACAACATACCAAATAACATCATAACTTCAATACAAATCACTCTTCAGTATTACTGTGCTTAATGATATGATTATTCCACAATTTGAATCTGAAACGGATATAAGTATAATGTGTATAATATAAAAGAAAATCAACGTACACGTCAATCAAAATTTCATAAGTCTACTAAGAACACCTAAATGATTTTCATTTAGCACATGTTTATAGTTTATTACAACACTAACTCCGTAAAAGACTCAGGCTGAAGCTGAATCCATTGGTTCGATATATCCCCGATCCAACGCTTTCCCCCTGATGCCAAGCTTTGAAACACTCTTTTCTCTTTGTTATTTACAAGTGTTCTAAGCGCCCACCTCTGAGTTGAGGTTAACCATCAAAAACATTCCTCATTGCTGACTGCAAAGACTCTTTTCCCTTTGATCAGTGTGGCATGAAGAAGGCACACCTACTCTGCCTTGAATGTTAGATGGAGCATTGGAGAGCTTCCATTATGCAAACGTAACGTGAATGTGCTGCAAAATTAATTGAAAAAGTATGGCGACCGTATGACCTCCCTCAGATCAAAGTCGCCTCGTTCTGGCAATGGTGGAAAAGTTAGGCCTGGGAATGACTTCTGGAAACTCTCCAACAACTATCAATACACAAAGATAAAACCATCAATCACAAGTTCAGTGATAGAAAGTGAAGAAAAAATTGGTAACTGTAAGGAGATTTTCTGTTACATTTTCTAAGATCGGCTTCTCATAGAGCTCAACAAACTTCTCTCTGAGTATATTGTTCATTAGATCAACATCAGACGCATGCGTCCAGAATGAGTCATGCACCCCTACAAAATACAAATAAGTATTATGAGTAAACGAAGATAGAATGAAGAATCTCAGTACATGCATATGGAAAAGCTAGAGCTGACCTGCAAAACTCAAACCCGCCTTGTTGCAGGCGACTGCTGTCATCATCATGTGAGACCCATCAAGGGAATGTACAAAATTTGGTGCGAAAGCTGTCATCTGCTTCCTTGCCATGACCTGAACCAAGAATACAGAGCATATGTCGCATAAAGTTGAGACAAATATAACGAAATGAAAATATGGTTGAGTTACCTTTTCAGTCTCTCGTTGTAGAGTCAACACCTGAAGGGTAGTCTTAACCTGCAAAAATTGATGTCTCTCAATTTCAAAGATCCGTTTCTTAAGCTGATCATTTGTGCTCTTCAGCTAATCAAAGAAGTTTAAAGAGCATTACCAAGTGTCTTTCAGCCTTCCGATAGGGTTGTACAACTGGAAGACCAAGAGGAGTCGTCCAACAAACTGCTTTGTTTTGTGAAGCTATTATCTGTCCACAACAGAATACAGCTCTCCTTGTTGTAACCAATTTGTCAAGTGAAACTTCTTTCAAACAAGAGCGTCATGGATATAAGAAACTGACCTTTGCACATTCACCAAACCAACTCATGATGGCTCTGGCAGCTTCAAACATCTCTTCTAGTGCTTTCAAAGTGACCTAGAAACAGAACCATTAGAGGAGTGAACATTTGAAAATCCAAAAAAAATCATTCACAGTGTAAATTTATATTTTCTTACTCTTGCTGCATAACAAGATGCATGAAAATTTTGTGAATCGTCCGAAAAGGCACCACGTTCTTTTAACCTCTTCTTGATTTGGTCACGTGCGCCACTATAAGTAACACCATACACTGATGTCATGACGGTCTGTTTTACCAGCTTCCTGTCAACCTAAGGAATTTCAATAGTATACGGCTATCAGATAGTATGTTCATACGCAAGTAAAAAAAAAAAGGAAAAATTGGTTTATCGGGTGATATATTGGGAAGAAGGTGGCCCAGTTTAAGCAAGAGATGTCAAAAACCTGGTCGAGCATGAGCTTGGCATATGTGGCATTGGGAAATGTTTCAGGATCTTCCTCTGCATCTTGCCGCATGATGTTGAGAACTCTGATTAAAATTTAAACCAAATAAATAAGTCTGTCTGATAACAGCGTCACTATAGCCAGAGAAATAGAAAAAGTACCTAGCAGCAATATCTGCATAAACATCAGCCGGCTTTTCACCTGTAAAAAGGTTGACAGCAGCTGCTCCAATCTATGAACAGAACCAATCAAAACAAATGAATCACAGAACCTTGACGAGAAATATATTTTCTACGTGCAAATGAATGTATACAAACTGTAAACTATTGGTATACCTGATCCCTCCCAAGAGCAGCATAGTGTTGTAAACCATTACATGAACCATCCTTGCAATAACGATCAATACACCAAGTAAGATTATTTTCTTTTTTAAAAAGCGTAGATGACGGTAAATTCAAAGCAACAAAGGAACTTGTGTAATTTCAATTAAATGGAATGTCACCAAAGTTATTCATTAACCACCGACATATTTTTACTTCTCATGATATAATTTAGCGAGTACCTGGTGGATAGGAATATGAGATATAGCTGCTTCAGGAAATGGGCTTCGTAAAGCTTCTGAAAGGTTCATGCAAGCAGCCAAACACTGAAAGGGATCCTCTGCATTAAGCCACCATCTTTTTCCTTCAAGAGGTCTATCGGAAGAGTCAAATATATCTTCTAAGTGACTCTCGGTAAATGCAACCCGATCCTTATACGCAAACTTATCAACACCACCACCATACAAGTTTGCTATATGTATCTTCAGCCACCTTAATCCTGATTCCCCAAGAGGCTTTCCCTCACAAAACTCAAGAATGCCACGGCAGAGATCAGACCCGAGATGGTTAAGATATGGATGCATGGGATACGCTCGGCCACGAAAGTCAACGTTGTGAGGGAAGTAGAAACCTTCTTCGTCCTTCATTTTACGTGCCACCTGCTCCATCAAATGAAAGTACAATGATGTTCTCATAAATCAGATAAGCAAAAAGGAGTGCATCAAACAAGGAGTCTTTTCTTACCTCGAGTTTGAGCTCTACATCACACCTTTGAGAATGTCTCTCGCTGTTTTCCTTATTTGCTTCCTTCAATTTCCATTTCCATTGCTTTATTTCTTCCTGGTCTTCACTGTCGGGCTCCTCTGGAATGGGTACCTATTGAAATTTAAAAAGAGGTGAGAAAAAATCAAAATGAGTAGGAACAAAGGTTACTTCCTTCTCTGAAGAAGGTGTTAAGAGAAGAGTGAGCAAGATCCAGAAGCAGGCAAAAAAAGGCGGGGGAAGAGAGAGTTCTCACGTCATCACGGTCAACCAGACCACCAACGCGACCTCCATTAGCCCAAATTCTATCCACCAAACTTAACACCTTTTTGTTTATCCTCCATTTGGTGTTTCCAAGAGTATCTAACGCCTGGTTAAAACAAAGAGAATCAAATGAACTCATCTGTTAATACAACACAAATACATAATCCTTGAACTCGTAATTCTACTTTAAAGCATCCAATATGTAGTTAAGCTCAAGCAACATTAACTCGCGTTATACAGGTAACGGAACTCAGACCTTGAATACTGGCTCCAGTTGCGCCTTGGGAGTTCGTTTTATAGCAACACGTTGTTGTTTAGCTCCATGTGTTCTCATGATGTACGAAGGTAAGAAAAAGTGTGCCCCTTGATCATACCTGCAAAATACTGTCACGTTACATACCAATTTTTAGGAACCTACTTGTGTGAATTCATTTTCAGGATCTACTATGACGGCTACACATGAAAACGTGTCATACCCTGTCCAGTTCTGGGGAGGTATTAGCATTGGCAAGTAGGGAATGACCATATGTCTAGCCTGATTAAATAAAGGAAAATAATTAGAAAATCCTAGAAAGATTGTCTCAGACTCAAAGCCAATATATCTTAATGTATAGTGGTAAAAGATTGTTCACACCAAACGTCACAAAGGTATATGACTGTTATCCGATAAAAACAGCAAAAAAAGTAGTCCACAATTATGCTTACTGATTTGTCAAGGCCCTTTCGGATCAGAGGATCGCATTCGATGCAACCATATTTCCTGCTTAATTTTCTGAGGAAAAAAAAATAAAAGAAATGAAGATGAGCATCAGGGCCAAGGAGAGGGAGAGACATAGACAGGTTCATGTGAATGAGCATAAACAGAATCACAAGACTCTTACTTATTTTCTATTGTGACAGTTCTGGAAGATTGCTTAAAAGCAGGCCGGATCTCAGGTGGACCATCATCAAACTGTTCAGCTGGAGGTTGTATATATGCAGTTTCCATCAACAACTGAATCAAACGTGCACCAACCTACAAGTCCAATCGCCAAAACTTAGATCACATGAATTACCATAAACCGTTCTGCAAAGAAAAAGTGTGGAAGTAAGAAAAAAAAAACCTTCACTTGAGCCTCTTGACCCCATGACTTGAACGAGTCATGTGCCTTCACTATTCCTCTCACTTGCCTCACCTTATGCTTCTTCAACAATGTATTAATCTGTTTCTTCAGCTTCACTGTTTCCTTTGTCTCAGCCTCTCTTAAAGCATCTACACCTTCTGATTCATCATCCACCACATTCTTCTTCTTCTTAGCTTTCTTCATAAAACTATTGATCCTAGCCTAATCCAATAACAAAACACACATACCATTAAACTAATCTACAACACATTCTACACCATCAAAAAAAAAAAAACACTCACCTCCTGCTCAATAGCTTCCCCAATCTGAGTAGCAGCATTAACAACCTTAACAACACCAACACCTTCAGCATTAGTCATCAACAACCCCATCATCTTATGCATAGTGATAACCGCCATCATATCAGCAGGCAACATCTCCATATAAGACGCATAAGGAATCTTCCCTTTCTTAACCTTAAACCCATCTAAATCCCCTTGAATCGCATCTCTCAAAGGCTCAAACCACCCTAAAAACAGAGACTTCACATAAGGAAGATTAGGAGCAAGCTTCTGCTCACACATGTCCTCTATAATCTCTTGACACTCCTTAGCAGCTTTCTCCCACTCCTCCGTCTCGAGCTTGACCTGTCTCTGCTTCAACGAGTAATACTTCTGAGCTCCCATCCCGGAAACGACTTTCACCGGCTGTTTCGATAAAAGCCGAGCCTTTTTGCGGACCCTCTCTGTTTCCTTCTCCATTGCGGAGAGCAATTCGTTGACTTCGTCGGACCCGGATGATGATTCGTCTTCTGGGTCTGTTGAATCGATGGTTTGAGCAGCTGTGGCGAAACCTTTAAAGGTGAAGTTTTGATTTGGAAAAACAGAGGATGCTCCTCTGAATTGGTTAATTGGGTTTGTGGGTAATCGGTTTGGGAGGTTAGCGGGGAGATTAATTGATGAGAGGATGCGAGGGAGGTGAGTGGCGGAGGTGGGATCGGAGAAAGTTTTGATCTTTCTCAGAGTAGCTCTTCCGAAAATGTTTCTCCACATTTTTTTCGTGTGATCAGAAATGGGTCAGAATCGGTTGTTTTAGTGATGGGGTTTTACAGAGAGACAGAGATACAGAGCATAGAGGAATCAAAGAGGAGGATGGAAGTTTAAAAATCCAGACTTGGGTGAAGATCTGTAGAGAAGGGAGCCGTGAAAGTACAGCCGCCGAAATAAACCCTTCATAAAACCTTGGGGTTGCTACTCCCTCAGGTTTTTTCTTGGATCTTTTTTGTTTACCCGACCCGGTTTTCAGATCCGTTATCGCTTTTTTTTGGGCTCAAAGCCCATTGTTGTGTGATTAAAAACTAATGTTATTTTGGAGGTGATACAACAACGGATCAGAGTGGCGCAGCGGAAGCGTGGTGGGCCCATAACCCACAGGTCCCAGGATCGAAACCTGGCTCTGATAAACCATTTTTTATAATTTTGTTTCCAAAGCCCAGTGATCAAATGTATAGTCCAGTATCGATCAAACCCATATTAGTTTGGTACATGCCCAGTCCAGCTCTGACCTTTTACCATTTGCCCTATCTCAACGATAAATTATAAATATTAGTTTGGCTTTTCACTATATTTTTTGTTTGTTTCACAAATGTCTCGTGTTTTTTTCAGCTATCACAAATGTATATTTATAGTCCAGCAAAAGAATATCTTGTGGTCAGAGATAGACATAACTACATAACTGATAAGTCACATAACAAATGTAGCAGAATTTATATATGATCAAAACTACGATTTTAAACCGCATTAATGTGTTGATTTCAGCTAAGTACCTATATTTTATTAGGACCAGATTAGATATTTGGAAACTGGCTAAAAGCGTTCAAAGGCGATCCTTAGTACATAACAAATGGTATTAAGTATTAACAGATCACAAGAGACAACTAAGTGCAGCACGTGACGGCCTTAATACTAAACATCCTGGTCTGGTTGGTTAAAAGCCCATCTTATCAATTGTCGTCAACAACATTACGGTTCACTAAAACAGTGCAAACCGGGTATCAACATCGCATCGTACACGTGTCGTATTAAACAAAACTTGAGTTGAGCTCACGAGTCTCTGCCGCAGAGAATCAAAGCAATAGCAAGCAAAAGGCTCTCTCGTCGACGGGAAAGTAAAAAAAAGAGGAAGAGAATAAAACTCAGAGGAGACGAAGATGAGAACCGGAAAAGCAAATCAAGAGGACGATGATTACGGCGGCGAAGAGGATTTCAGCTCCAAACGCGAAGGTCCTTCTGCCAACACCGTCAGAGGTAAACTTCTCCGATCCAATTTCGTGGGATTTAGTGTTTAATTGGAGCTATTTCAATTCGAATTTGAGATGAATAATTTCTCTGATGTTGAAATTTTGGGAAGCACAGATGTGAAGGAAAATGAAAAGGCAAGTGCGATACGTTCTAAGCATTCAGTGACTGAGCAGAGGAGGAGAAGCAAAATCAATGAAAGGTTTGTTCCATTCAAACTGTTTAAAGTCTCAAGCTTTTGATCTTGTGAGCTCGAGATTTTGTAGTAAACGCAAGCTTCTTTGTTCGATACTTTGATACAAGAGCTCAGTGTTTGGGAATTATGCTCTAAATCAGTATATGGGAGTATGGGACTTAGATATATTGTCATCCTTGCTTTTGTGTTCCTTATGAATGTGCTGAATCTATGGATCTCTTGTCAGGTTTCAGATTTTAAGAGAAATCATTCCCAACAGTGAACAGAAGAGAGATACTGCTTCCTTCCTTTTAGAGGTACATATTTTAAGCCAACATCTTGAGCTTAGATCTTGTTTTCTTAATACCATGTATTCCATTCTAGGTCATAGATTACGTCCAGTATCTACAAGAGAAGGTGCAAAAGTATGAAGGATCATATCCTGGATGGGGTCAGGAACCAACTAAGTTGACTCCTTGGGTATAACTTTCTCACCCTCTTCTTTTTCGTGCATGTCCTGCCTCTCAGCTAATTTCTTTGATTGTAAACGTTACTATTTTCATTTCCCTGCCATTTCTCCTTGATTGCAAAACACTTTTTTCGCGTGAGAGTCTCTCTGTTGCCAGTTTTGTATAACTTCTCTAGCTGAATCTTACGTTATCCTGTTTGGAACAGAGGAATAATCACTGGCGAGTTCAGAGTTTAGCGAACCATCAAGTTGCTGTAAATAATGGATCTGTTCCGGTGATACCATTTCCTGGAAAGTTTGAGGAAAACACTCTAGTCTCTTCCGCACCTGCAATTGTTGCAGAAATGCAAAACCCTGTTGAGTCTGACCAAGTTAGAGTTTACAAACCAATAGACAGTCATCACGAGTTAGACGACAACAAGGAGTTACCAGCTGTACAACCAATCCATCCATTTGTACACGGGGAACTAGCTAATAGTGAATGCCCTGCAACAAGTGATGGGGCAGGGCAAGGTAATAATGACCTGATTATTGAAGGTGGAACCATTAACATCTCTACTGCCTACTCGCATGAGTGAGTTACACCTGACAACACTGTTACTTTTTCGAGGCAAATCATGTGTTGGTTTCTTATTAACGTCTGATATGAACAGGCTATTGAGCTCATTAACACAAGCACTCCAGAACGCAGGCGTTGATCTGTCGCATGCTAAGCTTTCTGTGCAGATCGATCTTGGGAAGCGAGCCAATCAAGGACAAACACAGAACGACCCATCCAATAAGGTTCTCATTTTCTGAATGCTTGCGTTTTAGTGTAAAGAGGAACTATATAGATCATGATCTTGATACATATTTGTAAATGCAGAACCCGTCACAATCTGATATTGAAGACGCTACACGATCAAGAAGCGTTGAGGGAGAATCTGAACATGCTCATAAGCGGATGAAAACACTGTGACATCTCTCATAGGCTCCAATGCTGTGAAATATATAAACGTATTGACAGATATCTTCTTTCTGTATATTTGTTCGGCTTCTAGGGGCATCCTATAATCATTAAGATAAATTATGGTTAGTAGACTCTACGTTTTCATTTTTCATGGTTTTGAGTTTGTATTATCTTCTGCATCATTCATCATTGTAACATATATATCAAATATAATCTCATGTGGAATATCAGATTCTGTTTCAAGTTCTTGGATCATTTTTCTAATCTCTACAAAAATCAGTTCAAGCACAAACCAAAGATGATATGGTTCTGTTTATCTATTGTTGTGATAACCCATAACTTTGATAAGAAAAGCATAATCAAAGGCAGTCTCTTCGCATTGAGCATAGAGACCACCTTCACCGAAATGGCCTCCACTCATATTTGTTTTCAAAATCACAGCTCGTGAGCAGTCTTGGCACGTGTTCTCCCGTATCTTAGCCACCCACTTAGCACCCTCCCATACTCCAACCCTGGCTCAAACACAACACACCAATTCACGTTTATATAAAAAAAATGTAAGGCATGTGTCTACGGATATAATGTGAAGCTTGCCTTGAGTCATGAAACGAAGCTGTGACAAGCATTGACGGGTAGCAAACATCTTTGCGTATGTTATCATATGGAGAATAGCTAAGGATGGACCGGAAGTCGGTTTGGATGTTTGGGTTACCAAACTCTTCATGGTCCAAAAGTGTGAGTGGTAAGTTTGAATCCAATAATGTGTTTAACACATCTACAAAAGGAACCTGCCACCATTGTACACATTAACTTATTATGGACACAATGTAGCAAGAACAGCTGAATGCATTTGTAATGCTCTAACCTTCAAAATCGCTGCTTGAAATAGACTTGGGTGCATATTCATGGCTGCAGCTGGAAGAAGAGCTCCTGCACTGTACCCAATAGCAGCAAGATGATGTCTATGCACATATCCCTTGTCCATTAGATAATTCGCACAGTAGATGAAATCTTGGATTGAGTTTGGTTTCAATGACCCAGTTCCAGATTTGTGCCATGAAAAATCCCCACTACCACCTCCTCCCCTGAAGCCAAAAATGACACTCTTATAACAGCTCCACTCAATAACAACCACTATACAAGCCAAAGCATCTCAATAGTTAACTGACCTAACATCAGCAAAGGCAATTACCCAACCACGATCAAGCATGCTCAATCGGTTTGTGCACCAGCTTTTGTCCAGAGGTTCTCCATAAGCACCATAACCTACCAATATTCCAGGGGACTCACTCTTCTTCCATGCTTGACGGGAATACAGAATTGTAAGAGGGACTTCAACTCCATCGTGAGAAGAAACTTCTTGCCTTTCACAAACATATGCATCAGGTAGTTCCTCCCATTTAGGCATTCGAGAATCTAACCGACCACTTTCTCCCTCATTGGTTCTATCATTAAGTTCACCACTGTTGTCTGTAGAGTGATTTGCTGAGTACCATGGCGTACTACTATCAGGATCGTCTGCAACTCTGCCCTCCTGATGGACGATTGAGAATGATCTTCTTGACATATCATAGTCGATGATAGTGTCAGGAATCTGCAGTTATAAAGTACTCAGAGTAACTATCATAGTAGAAGGAAACAGCTCAAATGCAAGTAAACTATCTTTATGGCATCAAAGTTACAACAAATAGAGGAAACCATTTCTTAAAGTAAGTATATATATACCACAGGAGATGAAAGCACCAGTCGGTAAACTGAGCTTTGAAAGTCGTGGTTTGAGCCCGGTGCAACACTGCATGGATCAGCTGGAAGAGGAAAGTACCAGGGATTAAGATCCTCCACATGCTACAACAATAGAGAACATAAGCCTTAGCAAGAGACAGCTTAAACAGTGTATGTAAACAAAGTGTACGTTAATAACAAATCTTAAAAATACCTTCGTATTTGCTTTCATGGGCATATCAATGGAACATAGCATCGGTGAGCCTTTCTTACTGAGGAAAAGCACCAAGTAGTCATTGAACATGTCCATATCTTGAATCACGACATCATCATCTGGACAGAAAACAGTCTGACAAGAACAATCAGTTGGCTATATGTCCAAAAAAGGTACGAAAAATGGATAATCATAAATAACCAAAACCTGCCATTCTGATGATTCAATATCCTCCACGAGGCACCTAGTCAAATAGTACCCTTCACCAGACCACTCGCTAGTTTCATTTGTGGGAGCATTTGTAAGAATGTAAAAGAAGCCATTGTGATGTTCAAGAAAACACTGCACGCCAGGGACTCTCTCACGAGTTCTTCGCAAACCAGCCAGTGGCTTATCAGCATCTACGATATAAACCTAAAAGAAAGAAAAAGACAACCCAACTTGAGCCACGAGGAAAGACAGAAAACTAATTTTTAAAAAAACTTAAACTAAAAGTCTGGAACAGGTGAATTCCTCGGATGAAGTCCTTGAGTTCGAGTTGATAGTAACAAACTTGCCATCTTTCGTAGTTGTGATGTCTACACAGAAACTGGAATCCCTTTCTGAGAAAACCACAGTATCATCTCTCCCGTCTGATTCAACATTTGTAACAACAACCCTGTGTCAAAAAACCAAGTCTCAGTGCAACAAAACTTCATAAAACATAGAAAACTTAAGTCACTGTATTTACCTGTGAGGTCTCTGATGTTCATCTACAACAGTGTAAAACAAGTTGACTCCATCTAAAGCCCAAGCCAAGCTCACAACTCCCTCAACTTCCAACCTCGGAACCAAACAACCACTTCTAAGATCCTTAATCTGGAGAAGGAAACGTTCGTCTCCCTTAGGATCAACCGTGTAAGCCAGATAGTTATGATCAGGTGAAACACGACAAACACCAACGTGAACATAACCTGAAGTAAGAGAACAAGTCCCACACATTAGTGATTAATAACACCACTCTACTAACTAAGGAAAAATCAGAAAGAAGCTTACCAAACTGTTCAGCAATCTGATTCCAATCAAGAACAACTTCTTCTTCTGCTTCTCCTTTACGGAAAAGACCAGAGAGCCACTTTGTTTCAGCCTTGTCCAATCTCCTACAGAGTATAGGATACTCTTTTCCTCTAGGTATGTATTGCCTATATAACCTGCTCAAGTTACATAATGCTCAGTCCACTGGAGTAATGGGTTTTTTGTTTGTTCGTCACTTCATTTCCCATTTCATTTTGCAGTAAATTATGGAGTGAAGTTCATTTTGCAGTAAATTATGGAGTGAAGTTAGAGATGCTCTAAGACTGAACATCCATTCTAAGACTGAACAACGCAAGTTCGGACCCTATCTATATGTTTTTGTTACTATTAAGACTGAACAATGGTGTTATTATATGTTTTTGTTACTATTAGGACCAAACAACAGTGTTCGCATGTTCCGACCCTAACTCTCACAGTTTGTGCCTCAAATCAGTAAGTTAAAGAGAGAGAGAGACGATTACCATGGTCCCCAACGCTCAGGGGGAGTGAAAATCTCTGAGGGGATACGAGTTTTCATCTCGGAGACCAAATCACGCATTAGGGATTTTGTGTCAGACATGAAAGCTTGAGTGTACGAGTTCTCACGATGGAGGTAGTTGAGGAAATCTTTGTCTTTTGTATCTCGCATCCAACGGTAAGGATCTTGTCTCGTGATGCCATGAGTTGTGACTGAGAATGGGATCTTTTTGGGGACAGGAGGAGATTCTGTCGGAACAGAGAGTGAAGCCGTTCGTTGGATAAAGCATTGTGTCGAGAAAGAGTTGTGATAAGAAGAACAAGTAAGAGACCAAAGAGAGGATGTGGTTGGCGACTTGAAACGCCGGAGAAGAGATGATACTGCCATTAAATGGGGGAATAGTAGTTTGGTGTCTCCGAGAGACCTTTGAAGTCAAAGTTATAAGCTTTTATTTTCTTTTTACTACACAAACCCAAAAACGAAAAAAGTCTTGATTTTTATTAAGCGAATTGAATCAAATGTTGTCATCTTTTGCATTTTCGCTATAGAGTAAAAGCTAAGATGAAGAAGATTCTATCTGTCACCAGGAGCTTTGTCACTAACTTCTAGATCTCCCAAGAGGAATGTATCGAGAAGCTAAGATGAAGAAGATTCTATGCTTTGTGACATCTTTACAGCTGTTTCTGTCCCTCTAACTGCTGAAGTCGTCTTAAGCTTCGTCATTTTACTCTCTGCTTTGTTACTAAGTTCCATTTCCATGCACTTCCTCTCATATCTGACCTCCCAGTTCAGCTATGGATGTTTCAATTCACTTATCACATCTCTTAAGCTAGCTCAGTCTTATGAAAATATACATGCCAAAATCTATCTTTACAACTACCTATGCCCTTGACACGATTCCCATTCTGAAATTGATCACACCTCATTACTCTTCAATTTAGCATTTGAGTTAGCGCGCGAGATGCTACTACTTCATGTTCATATATTATTCGGTGGACTTATTCTTAATGTTCTATTCAATTTATTGTCCCCATGTTGTGAATTCTCATCCATCAACTTATAACATTGGGTATGTCATGCAATGTCTGAAAATATGTGTTAGGATTATATAATTATCCCAATCACTTGCTTGTTCTTTGGCACATCGTCTCTTTGAGCTGTTTAATCATTTCGTACAAAACAAAAAATTTGACACCTTCATCAACCAAGTGCAAGAGATGACAACACATGATACTCCTTATTTAGAACACTATTACTAATTCAAGCTCATTTATAACGTATAGTATGGTGCGCCGCGTTGAATAAAGCATACAACATTTCGTTCAGCTGATCTTTTATAAGTGAGTGAAGATCATACTAATGCCCTGACTCGGACATATTAGTCGAAGCCAACCCTAGAAGATAGACAATTCTAAAGTTCATTTAAGATGTGTTAATGATTAAACACCATCGCTTGGTTCTTGAAATTTTCACATTTTGTTAACCTATGAAAAAATTAGACTGTTTGAACGACAAGTCCAAGTTTAAAAGTTCGGTTTATGCTTTATCAAGATTGTGCCATAATTGTCAGTTTAATTTTCACGAAATTATATCATTTTGCACCATTGTACATGTTAACCACTACAATATGTGAATATGGTCATATTCTTTAGTTGATTTTGGTTCTAGAAACACCATATATAATCTAAACAAATCAGTAGAATATTATCCTATACAACTAGAATTTCTCAGCTTTTCTACTGGTATTATTTACAACATAAGAGCATCCACATTGGTGAACCCCCATGGGGTTTACCAAAAAAAAAAAAAAATTGATTTTTTAATTTCTTTTTTTTTGTTTGAAAAAAAAAAAAATTTGGACAAATGGGGTGTTGCCACGTGGCGAACCCCATGTGAACCAAGTTCACTACCATGAACTTTTTGGAGAGAGGTTCACCAAAATAATATTTTTTTTTTTTTTTTCTTGGGAAAAGGGTGAACCCCTCCTTAGGCCATGTTCAAAGGGGGCACATATACTATGTGCTTGGCCTTTTAAAAATAGGATTTAATAGAAAAGTGGCCCAAGAATACTTTGAGAGTTCTTGTTGAAAACCAGTGCTTAGCTCATGTGTTTGGGGACGTGTCACGCGCGTATTGGTCGAGAAAAATGGGGAAAATAAAGGTGATCTTAAGCACACCCTTTAAAGAAGTGATCTCCCTTTGAAAATTTCCTTGTTCTTAACTCAAATCCATTTTTTAACTAATATTTTCACTCTAAGCACACCCTAAAGTGCTCCCACTTTGAACATGCCCTTATGAGCTTCTAATGGAGATGCTCTAATGTCTAATAAGTCTCCTTGTTGTTACAGTTATGAGAGTATGACTGTTTTAGTATTAGTTAGTGTGCAGACGTACAGTATGAGTTGTGGTTAACGACAACAACAAAAGGACTCGTTGGTTCCGGACCAGAAACGGAAGTAATATAATTAATGGTACGAAAAACAGTATAGTTATTCAACTATTTCTTGCCAGTTGTAGTTACTTTGTTACCGTTTACTAGTTTCTATTCTCGTTAGAAAAAACTCTTCCGAGTACCAATCAAACCCAAGAGATAGTTATGATTCTCAGTGAAAAGACTATAAAAAGAAATAATTGTTGGGGTACATGGGAATAGAAGAAAAGATAGATGGTGAGAGTGAAAGATACGAAAGAATATATGGTTGGGGTGTGGTCGAATCTCTGTATGCAGCAAGAGACCACTCTCTTCCTTCACGGGACCACTTCTCCGCTAAACTATAGTATATGACTCTTTCTATTATTTGATAAAATCGTGTTAATTCGTGTGTAATCGTATATTATAGTTTATATAGTTAGCCACCTATATATAATATTACATAGATTTGGAATCGAGATGTATACAGTGGGTGAAAGGTGGACCATTTTTTGGTCGATTTTGGTAGATGTCAGATTGTGAAGTGAGCCAAGTTGCCATCCCTTTGGAGATTTATCCAAATCTTTCATGATCGTTACGTTTTTGTTATGTATACTTTAATTTTAGCAGCTATTACCCTGTCGTTCCAATCTACGTTTTTTTTTTTTTTTTTTTTTTTTTTT